AAAAAAAAAAAACATAACCCCCCCCCATCCTCAAAAGTTTCTGAATGGATTTCGGCTGTACTCAGCAAGCGCAGTACAACCCCCAACTCAGATTTGAAAACAAATCAGTGGATGGTTGTTTTGTGACTGGTTGGGAGACCGCCGACCGGTCGGCCCTACTGGTCGGCTGCAATACGGTCGGCGGTCGGGGTCGGCGGTTGGCAAGTATGCAACCCTGCACACTGTGGAAAATAGATGCGTCAAAGGAGTATTATTTTGTTGGCTGTCCCTTTTGGCCTCTTGTGTTTTTCCTTGGATATTTAACGTTGTTGTTCATAACTTCCTCCCCCTCCTGCCCGTCTGGCTCGTTTTGCAGAAAGCTGTCTTCGTACACTGCACCAAAGTCGGTATTGTTGGACCTGCCACGCGGTGAAAATGGCGATGCAGAGGTGTGTGTACAGGCGGCAGAGTCGTGCGATTTATGCTCATCCCAATCTCACCTTGATTTTGCTTATTGATTTATTTTTTTGCCGTTACGGATGCTGACAGCTAAATGCCGTTGCTGTTTTCTTTTTTCTTTTTTTATTATTATTGTGGTTGGCTGTGCTGGTTGAACTTCGTTTATGATTTGCATTGTTGATTTAGTTTTTATTTTCCCTCTTTTCTTTTTGGGAAAATTTGCGAAATAGCCCTGAAAGTTCACGTATATGCTAAAATACCCCTACAAGATGTGGGTAGAACAGAATGGCCCCCCAGTGAAGTTTGAAAAGGTTTTGAAATGCCCTTTTGGATCTAAATCTTTCCGATTTACCCCTGTCAGGGGCTGTGCAAGTGTCGCATCCTGCCCCTGACAGGGGTATACCACAAACTTGGCCGCCCCCCCTGACATGGGTATGATGCAAAGATTTAAATCCAGAAGGTCAATTCACAAACCTTTGAAATTTCAGGAGGGTATGCCTCTCAACCCACATCTTTTAGGGGTATTTTAGCAAATACTTGAACTTTCAGGGGTGTGAAACGGTTTTTACCTTTTTGCAGTCACAGATGCGGGCCCTAGAGTTCGATCCCCAGACCTTACCTTACCCATGTACAGTATCGACTTGACCCCTGAGTGTTCGAACCCGCGACCTGTGTTTTGGTAGTTGTCTGTTGTCTGTCGTAGGTCTGTGTAGTTGTAGGGGTTTGATCTGTAGGTCTGTCGAGTAGGGGTCATAGCTGTGTAGAGGTTGTAGCTGTAGCATTTCTGAAAGGTCAAGGTCGTAGCTGCTGCAGTCCTGAAAGGTCAAGGTCGTAGCTGCTACGGTCCCGAGAGGCCAAGTCCACAAACTCCCGGAAGGTCCGGAAGTGGCCTTTCGAGAGTTTCTCACGCTCAGTCAGAGGCAAGTGGGCAAGTGGTGAGTCCAACTTCGCTTAGTCAGCGGTACCCAGTCCTAGTCTCACTTTGCACAGTCAGCAAGTACCATGAGGGACTGTCTGCACCATGAGCCCGGTGGAAAAGGGCAGACCAACGACTTACACAAGTATAAATCAGAGGCAGCGCCCAGCCATTCATGCATTCCTGTGTGAGCCATGTGGAAGCGCTGCCCTAGCGTCTTGTGCGAGGTGGTCTGCAGATCCCCGAGGACGAAGTGGGCCGAAGGAAGATAGAGTATCCATAGCTTTTGTAGGGGTTAGGCGGCCATAGCCGCTGTAGCTTAGAGGCAGAGTTCAGTGTGTGTGTGTGTGAGTGGCGGAGTGTATGTGCGTGGGATATTCAGGGTGGTCCAGCGACGAGTACGTGTGAACAGTGTGTGGACACTGACGAACGAAGGATGTGTGTGAGCGCTCAGGCGCCATAGCCAGATGGAAGCAAGTTTGTAACAGTTCTGTGTTCTCGGCTTGATTATCTCGGAGCTTTGTGTGGGCGCACAGCGCCAGTGTGAGTTGTCATCTCTTTGCATGTATTCGAAGTGGAGAAGAAAGCGAGTCTGATTGCAGGTTTTTCACAAATTTTGAAATTTCTGCGGAGTCCCCTAACTGATGATACTGAAAATGATAATCCACCTCAACCGCGGTTGCGGTCAAGCATCAACGATTGCCCGACAACCGAGACCTTGAGGTGGACACCAACCACTGCCCTCAAGGTACCTGTGACAAAAATCTGAGCAGACTATCACTCACCCACGCCAGACGGGGAAATCTACAGACTGCAGATTCACACCCCGTCATAAGCCAGCAAAACACCGAGGAAACAAAGGCAGGTCTGTCACAGGCAGGAAAAAATACACTGCAGACATGGGCGATAAATATATATACAAAGGAACAAGTGGACCGCGACTGATAATTGTAACTGTCCTTTTGAATTTGTGTGTGTACTTTCCTTTTCTGGGCTAATTGAACACAGTTGGGATTTAGAAAGCCTCAGCGGATCATTGACAGGGAGGATGACTACAGGGCAAGGAGGCACAGCCGCCCAATATCGCCAGAGAGGACAGATGCTTTTGCATTGGTAAGTTATAGCACCTCGTCTTGCCCTCTCTTCCTGGTGCGGTCTTGCATTGGCTGCTCACTTCCAAATTTTGGGCCTGTTGGCCTTACAGTTCCACCGTGATTCTGTTGTCTTCGATTTATCTACTTATCTGCTCCATCTGCGATACTGTATGAGTCTGTGTGCCTGGCTGCTGTGCCGAAGAGCTTGGTGTGTGTGTGGGGAGAGAGAGAGAGAGAGAGAGAGAGAGAGAGAGAGAGAGAGAGAGAGAGAGAGAGAGAGAGAGAGAGAGAGAGAGAGAGAGAGAGAGAGAGGGAGAGAGAGAGAGAGAGAGAGAGAGAGAGAGAGAGAGAGAGAGAGAGAGAGGCATGGCTATCTGGGAGAAGGTGCGTTTGGGCCATTCCTGCTACGACTGAGAATGAATCTCTCGCAAAAACTTTCCATTTTTTAAATATCATTAATTGTCATTATAAATTCATATTGTGGCTCTTCTCTAATCTGTTCAAAACTTTTGCATTTGTGGCTGGTTACGAGATGCTCGGCCTTCCGGTCCTGTTTCTTTTTCTGTGAGTGTGTGGAGTGACATCCCCCCCCCCCCCGCCCCCCGCGCCACCCTCGTTCCTTGTTTTTATTAGACCCACATATGGATGATGCTACTGCATCTTCTTCTTCTTCTTCTTCTTCTTCTTCTTCTTCTTTTTTTTTTTTTTTTTTTTTTTTTTCCGATGGACAAATCGAGTCACTTTCCGCTGTTTCTGGCATACACTTCCTAGCAGACATGCCCGTCCGTGGCTATTTTCGGTACCAGTGTTGGGTATCCTTGGTCATGTGTGGTAGAACAGCGTAATCAGGCTAGTTTGAGTTCTTTTATGTGCTGGTTCTTGTGAAAGTGGTGTTGTGTGATTTTTGGATTGAAAATGGTGTGGAGTGATTTTTGGATTCAAATGGTGCGTTTCTTTGCGGTGTTCTGATGCATGTCCTGGCTTTCTGAGCCAGGTTGCCAACCTGTCTTTGTTATTTGGTGAGTGGCTGGTTTATGATTTTTGCGTCTTAACGCGTGTCTTCTATCGGTTGTGTGGTTCGAACCGTTTACAATGATTGCATGGTATGGACAGGGTGATAAGACACCGGATGCCTCATTGCGTACATATGCTGATGTTATGCGAGAGGAAGCTGTGAGGAGGGGTAAGGAGGAGACTTTGCGGTTGATTGCTAAGAAGAAGCAGGAGGAAGAAGAGAAGAGGAAAGAAGGTGGGGGGGCCCCCTTGAAACCTATAAAGCCGGTCCAGCAATCAGCAGGTGCGGTGCCGGGACCTATTGGTCCCACTGCAGGTGTAAAGAGGAGGAACCGCTGGGATCAAGCTGGAGCTGAGGATGCATCGAAGAAGCCAAAGGTCTCTTCGGAATGGGATGCGCCAGACTCGACACCTGGGCCCAGCCGGTGGGATGCAACGCCCACCCCAGGGCGTGTTGGTATCGAGGCAACGCCTACGCCAGCACGGCGGAATCGGTGGGATGAAACTCCTACGCCAGGGCGGTTTGTTGACTCTGATGCTACTCCTGCCGGGGGCATGACACCTGGCGCAACGCCTGCAGGAATGACATGGGATGCGACTCCGAAGGTTGGCATTGCTACGCCAACGCCTAAGCGCCAACGGTCACGCTGGGACGAGACTCCGGCGACGATGGGAAGTGCAACACCCATGTCCGGTGCAACCCCGAGCACGTTCACCCCTGGTGTGACGCCACTTGGTGCAGCGGACCTAGCCACACCAACTCCTGGGCACATAGCGTTGCGAACACCGATGACTCCAGAGCAATACAATGCACTTCGCTGGGAGAGAGATATTGAGGAGCGCAACAGGTGGGGCTTTCAGGCTGTTTAACTGGCTCACGGATGGGTCTGTTGTTTGTTGAAGCCATTTATCTAGGCTGTCGTGTCTCTCTTGCAGCCGTCCTTGCGATTTGAATCCACCTTTTTATCCATCTGGGATATTTCAGGGCATTATGCAGTGAAGTGGTCTCCTGGAAAATGAGGGCGAGGGTTTCGGTCAGGTCTGTCTGTTGTCAGATACTATGGGATAAATGAAGGTTTCCCTACAATAGCATGGTGGGGTGTGGTATACCTGCCTGCACAGTGTAGTCATATGTTGGCAAAGACGGAGCAGATTTGTTTCTCATTGCTTTCTTCTATGCATCTCATCGGGGCATCCGTCCGCATGTGCGCGCGCGTGTGTGTGTATGTGTTTGTGGAAATGCACCAGCGTGTGTATGTGTGTTCGTTTGCATGTGTGTCTGTGTCTCCTTGTGTGTATGTGTGTGTGTGAGGTGAGCTTCGCTCTTGGCTGGCACACTTGCTAATATGGAGGTAGGATGAGGCAACATGTGCTTGCATGTGGATGAGCCAGAGGATGTGCGTGCGCGTGTGTATGTGGACATGCACAAGTGTGTGTACCTGTGTTCATGAGCATGCATGTCTGTGTCTCTGTGCGTGTGAGATGAGCTTCGCTCTTGGCTGGCACGCTTGCTACATGTGCTTGCACGTGGATGAGTCAGAGGATGTGTGTGTGTGTGTGTGTGTGTGTGTGTGTGTGTGTGTGTGTGTGTGTGTGTGTGTGTGTGTGTGTGTGTGTG